GAGATCCGGCCACTGTACCCCAGCCTGGGCGACAGAGCGAGACTCTGTCTCAAAAAAAAAAAAAAGAAATCCATGTTTATCATCTGAAAATGAAAATAAAGATACAGATAAGAGGAAAATGTGTAACAATTTAGAATCTCCATCATACTCTACCACCAGAAATAACATTGTTAGCAAGAGCACCATGATACTAGTTTGAAATTCAGGTCCATATCCCATTGTGGGGGACACTGCCTTCTTATTTGAGGAGCCTCAATCAAGGTTGTGGGGCCTAAAGTTTAATTTTTATTGTTGTTGTTAGGGGTATTATTTTTCTATGAAAAGTAATTCTCAATGCAGTTTCTCAAATGGTGGGATTCCTTATCTTCCATTGGGCCCATTCCCCCATGTAGACACAAGGTTATGATTAGATAACTGTAAGATGTGAAACAGTAAACACTAGAGGCAAGTATATGGTCTGTTCCTAGTTTAGAAGCCCCAAATCTTTATCCCCTACTCTGATGAAGTTGGAGCATGGGACTATCTTCCTGTCTACTGTATTTGCCCAAAGCCTAGAGCAGAATAGACAGGAGAAAGGACCTCTTTTCTGTTTACTGTACCCTGACCTTTGCTCCTATGTTAAGCCTTTAAAACTGAGAGGTACTCTGGTGGGAGATTAACAGGAGGAAAAATAAATTTTTCACTTCTGTGCCTGTCTGTCCCCTCATAAAAGATGAAACACTTTATTCCCAAGACTCTCTTATGATCTTTTCTATCCTGTTCATATCAATGCATGGCAGAGGCCATTCTTGGAGTTACAAAGGAAACTGGTTAAGATATGTGGCTAACAATCCTCATTTTTCCTGTCTTAACTCAGTGGACTTAACGGTCAGACTGATGGTTAGCTAGGTTGTTGCTCTGCCCATTCAGCATTGGTGAACAGCCTAAGTCATGTCTGTACTTTTGTGAGCATCTAAGCCTTGCCTCAGCTTTTTTGTATTTACTTAGAAATAATGTCCTGGGTGGCCAGGCACAGTGGCTCACGCCTGTAATCCCAGCACTTTGGGAGGTCAAGGCAGGTGGATCACCTGAGGTCAGGAGTTCGAGACCAGCGTGGCCAACATGGTGAAACTCTGTCTCTACTAAAAAGAATACAAAAATTAGCTGGGTGTGGTGGTGGGCGCCTGTAATCCCAGCTACTTGGGAGGCTAAGGTAGGAGAATCACTTGAACCCAGGAGGGGAAGTTGCAGTGAGCCAAAATCGCGGCATTGCACTCCAGCCTGGGTGAAAAGAGCAAGACTTTGTCTTAAAAGAAAAAAAAAAAAAAGAATGTCCTGGGTTTATTTCCTGGGGCTTTTTTAGGTTCAGTGGATCATTCAGTGATATATATAAGCACATATACATGTTACTTA